CCTTCTCTTTCTAACTGTCGTGCTTCCATGCCGATTAATCTTTTGTTCACTGAGATCAACGCCGAAATTTCGAACCCATGGTTTTTACTATGTCCAAGTTTGGCAATTTTCCACAATCTTTATTTTTTACTTTCGGGAAAGCTTTGATAGCCCTCAGATAGAATAAGCAAAGGGCAATATAATGCAAATTTGCGGCATCTATAGCCAGCCTTGAAAATTTTTTAGAATTATTTTTCTGATGTTATCAAATTCCACTTTTGGTGATGCCAAAAGCCGGAGATCATAAAACGGCGCACAACTAAGGTGTTATTCGATGCAGCTTTTCCTCCTCTTTCCAGTGAGTGTATTTCTCTCCGATTTTCGGGGTCTTTGGCGATAAAACTTTCATAATTCTTGAATTTGACCCCATCCCAGCGTGTATACGTAAAATGCAAAAACTTATATTTCGAAGCGGTGAACGCTCATTTGCTTCGTAAAAGTAGAGAATAATCGTAATCGGTTTTTGAAAGCTTCAAAATCCGATGATTTGTTGGTGTTCGAGGCGTTTCTGTATTTTAGAACTTCGCAAAAGTGAAGACTTTTGAATAAGTTATCTTTGAAAATATTGAAAAGCCAGCTAGATATGCCAAATAAATGCATTGCATTGCCCTTTGTTTACTCTATCTGGGGGCTATCAAAGATCTTCCAAAAATTGAAAATGAAGATTGTGAAAAATTGTCAAACTTGGACATAGTAATAACCATGGGTTCGAAATTTCCGCTTGATCTCAGTGAACAAAAGATTAATCGGCATGGAAGCACGACAGTTAGAAAGAGAAGGAAAAGATGGGTCTGATAGTGCTTGGAGCGTTTCCCTACCTTCGTTCCACGCGTTTCTATGATAGGTTGAAAAAACGGACAAAACTTTCGGGACAACCTAATATTAACGACCATATTTATTATCTTATATATAAAGCTGAATGTCTGTATGTCTGTCTGTATGTCTGTACGTATGTGCGGAATAGAAATTTTCATTTCTGAACCGATCCGGACCAAACTTGGCACACATACACTTCGGGCCCCGGCGGGTGTCATAGGCTACTTTTTGTCATCGATCGATATCGATTTTATCGATTTTTTGCAAAATTTGAGCTACGGGGCTGGGAGTTGGCACAGGGGGGTAATCGAGCATGCTGATTACGAATATAATAATGACAGGGCCGGGCGGAGCCGGGTTTGCCAGCTAGTATTTTCATATTCCTCCATGTATTAGGTCGGTCCGAAAGTTAGCGCTGTTTTTCAGACCCATGCTCAAACCACTTAGAATGAAGATAGACAAACGCTGTGAGCACTATCCGATGCAGAATTTCTTCCTCTTTCTAAAGATTATGTTCTTGTTCAGATTCCCTCGATGTCGGCTCGGTAATCGGCAGGGCTCTACAACCATGATTTTCACACATCTTCAGTCTCTGCTATTTTTTAAAATTTCCATTTTCATTTTGGACTAGCTTTGATACAGTTGGATAAAATAAACAAAATGCAATATAATGCATTTTTCTGGCGTCTCAATATTTTTAGAAATATTTTTTTGATGCTATCAAATTTTATCTTTGGGCATCTCAATCCTCACAGAACAATGAACGACTAGCAACCAAAGTGTCATTCGATGCAGCTTTTTCTCCTCGTTCTTATAAATTTCTTTTCTTTTCGACCTGTGCAATATTTGAAGATAAAATCACTACTTTCGTTTTCAGCCGCGCCCGCTGTACTCAGAAAATTCGGAATTCACTATTTCGAGCCGCTAAACGCTCATGCTTGCTGAGATGGTGCTAAGTCAATGTGTCATTGAAAACTTCAAGTTCTGAAGATTTGTCAATGTTTGAAGCGATTGTGTATTTCGCGACTTTGCAAAACTAAGGGATTTTGGAAAAATTATCCCAAAAAATACTGAAGAGCCAGTTGAGAAAGTCAAAATAGTTCATTGTATTGCATTTTGTTTGTTCTATCCAGCTGTTATCGAAGCTAGTCCAAAAGATGAAAATGGAAATTTTAAAAAATTAGTCAAACTGAAGATAGGTGAAAATCATGGCTTGGAGATCCCTGCCAATTACTGAGTGGACATTAAGGCAATCTGAACAAAAACATAACTTCTAAAAAGAGGAAGAAATTCTACATTGTTTAGTGCTTATAGCATTTGTCTACCTTCATTCTAAATGGTTTGAGCATGGGCCTGAAAAACAGCGCGAACTTTCGGACCGGCCTAATATATTACTCCACTAGTTGACTTACCCGGCTCCGCCCGGCCCTGTCATTATTATATTCGTAATCAGCATGCTCGATTACCCCCCTGTGCCAACTCCCAGCCCCGTAGCTCAAATTTTGCAAAAAATCGATAAAATCGATATCGATCGATGACGAAAAGTAGCCTATGACACCCGCCGGCGCCCGAAGTGTATGTGTGCCAAGTTTGGTCCGGATCGGTTCAGAAATGGAATTTTCTATTCGGAACATACTTACAGACAGACAGACAGACAGACAGACAGACAGACAGACATACAGACAGATAAACAGACATTCAGCTTTATATATAAGATTCTGTTCTGCCATGGACAAGTTGTGGATTGTCCATGCACCTGTTAGCCGCCGGATCATCCTCATGGCCCTTGGTAATGCACTCTGCGGCGCCTACTTCCAAGTAAGCGGAACTCGTTTTGTATTGATAGCATCTCTTGCCAGAAATTGACATCGGCTATACTGTCCAACTTGGCTGTATATGAGAGCCTGGATACCGAGTTCTGGATTCGTTACTATCGTTGTATCCAGTTGCCGTTCGTCTATATTCTCTGATAAATCGTTGTTGCCTCCCCTCTTTCATAACCTTGTAGATCAATATTATGTGACTTATTGGGATCATTGTTGCTAACAAAAGTTCTTAGCAATCAAGCAAGTTACGAAGAAAGGTATCCCTCTGCATCAGTGGCGGACAGAGGGGGAGGAAGAGGATGAGTTGCGAAATTTTTGAGAGTACAGCATGTTCCAACCCAGTTTAGGCGGGGATTGGATTAGCTGGCGTCCGCTTTCCAACGGCTCGCTCCGTTTCAAGTGAAGACAATTCAAACTTTCCTGCGGCAAAACCTCGATCGTTTCATTAGAAGTAAAAGATGTACCATCACTTTACGATCCACCTAATTTGAAGAAACAAGGTTGATAAAAAGAGCATTGGGTTGTTCGGTATATTGGAGAAGATATTGCTTAGAATTAAAGAAAGACTGATAAGTAAGGTTTTGCTACCAGTCGATCACCTTCACTAAAAAATGATCCTCTATGGTTGGTTATAGCACACAACTTGAAAACTTAATATATAGCGAAAGTTATCGATTTCGCAGAGGTGACACGATGATCTGTCAAAGAAATGTCTAAGATATTCATTGAGTATTATAAGGATCAGTGTCGCGGCTCCGCGATACAGAGCGCTCCTCGGAACAGGTGTCAGGACGCTTTTGCCTGTCGCGCCTTTTCTAGGTTGCCGCAGGGCCACCTTCGGCTTGGAGCGCAGCCAAGTGGCGAGTTATATAATGCTGCGCGTTAGACTTCGCCTCTTCGACCTTTACTCTCATCATTGATTTTTCTCGTATCGTACTTGGCTACGTTCTAGGCAGCCCCCGCAGTTGAGGATCTTGTGTTGAGCGGTTGAGCCTCTTAAAATCTTGTGGACTGAAGACGCGTCAGCGCGAGGAAACTTGGAAGTCTGTAGATGAACGATATTGCGGTAGTGGAGCTGGTGAGTGCACCGTTCCATGGGACTGGGTCTCCAGCGGCCGACTCTGTGGAGGAACCCAGAACTTCTCGCTTGGATTAGGCCTCCTGTACATCGGCAGCACAGGACGCGCGGCTCGTCCTGTGTTAGTAGGTTGGTCATCCTCTTTAAAGGCAGTGTCCAGGCAAGATGGGGGTTTTGAGATTTCTCTGCCATGTGAGAGTGGCCCCCCTGAGACACAACATCGCGCAACTGCGAGCATAAAACGTTCGACCTAAAGCAAGAAAAACAATTGCAAAGTGGGGAAACTTACGCCTTGGGGCGGGGTCCTCCGAGCTGTTTGAATTCCTGCCAGACGACAGAGTACGTATGCCGCCACAGTTAAAAACCGTGCGCTCTTTGCAACTCTGCGTCTTAGCCTGGCGGGGATCCTCAAATTTCGAAATGTAAGGGCTTGGAAAATGCATGTTCTCGCCGTTTTCGCGCTTTCTGATGTGGATTTTCGGATTCAGCGTTGCGGATAACCCCAGATAAGTTGATTTTTTAAAAGTCGAGTTTCTGCCCGGACACTGCCTTTAAGAACCTTATAGAGTTCTTGTACATAGGTTTTATATTTGTTGTCATGTCTTATATTTGTTGCTTTATGTATATGAACTTAATCTGATTATATTCGTGTGTAATATATGGATGGGAGGCTCGAGTGGACGCGCAGAAAGGTACCGTCGGTTGCGGACGCGTTATGTTCTAGTGTGTAAGATTGTGGTGTATGGCGAGAACGAGAACATGGCTGGGGGTGCGAGCCGCAACATAAGGCTCCCGCCAGAGTGCCGAAGTTATGCCAGCGCTACGCCAGCATTTCGATCGATACACGTGTATTTCGTTGGGGCGGGGCTAGCTAACGTCCCCAACGAGATACACGTGTATCGATCGAAATGCTGGCGTAGCGCTGGCATAACTTCGGCACTCTGGCGGGAGCCTAAAGCTTCAAATCTGCGTGCTTGCGGAAAATGGACAAGAAATTTTTGGAACGTGGAGCGAGTAACAAACAGAAAGACAGAATAATGATTGTAAATTTAATCAGGTTGATAATTTCAATGAAATTTTGAAACATTAACTAAAAAAACTTTTTCAGCAAGAAATGAAGTCTTTGATTGAATGGTTCATCCACAAAAATTTCTTATACTGTCATTCACAACAATTCAGTGTACGGCACTGTTGACATTCCATATGCACACTTCATAATGAATTTTACAAATTTCACTCACATAAAAATCCATCGCTGGCTTGACTTTCTCTTAGAGATTTGCCGGATGCCCTTGAAGCGTTCACTGTCCGCTAAACGGTTCACATGTGAGCCACTAATGTGACATATCCATAAAATCCAGCCTAATGCCAACAGTATCAGAAAGCTTTGCGCCTTTGTGATGTCATGAATAGAAGCAAAAACTGCAAAAAAATTTTCAACAAATGTACACCGGTTTTTATTTCAGTATTACCTGCCCATATATGGAAGAATGTGACTACAGCTACCTTCAGAATAAATGATGGCTTCCTTACTTCGGCCATGACTGATCGCAAGCTGGGGGCAGCTTTTGGGGGTGCCTTCTCTGTTCCACCAGCCTCAATCTCATTTGCATTCGATGCGGCAAGCTAAAGTCAGTAGTTACAAAAACGCTTTAATCTGCTTATACTTCAATCACACTATAGCCTCGAGAGCAGTAATATGAACTAATCTGGTGTTCTTCCTACACATGTTAGATAACAAAACATTTACGAAAATAGCTCTAGGGAGTTTTTATTGAAACCTCGACTTACATGGGTATCTTGCTACTCAACTATAGCAAAAGCTTAGGCCATCATCATTACGATGAGTCAAAAAAGCATAGATAAAGGAGGGAATAAGAAGATGGTTAGCGCAGCGTGTAACCCGAGCTTTGTTCAAAAGAATCTGTTATTTGTTTGGTCATTCACTTTTAGTACTTTTGGAAATTATTTCATGCAGGAAAACCTTCACAGCTCCAGCATTTTAGGTCACTTCCATTGATTGATTTCTGTTTTCCTTTCATCTTTCCTAACTTTTTGATAAAGACTTGGAAGCTTCAGACACATGAAAAGAAGAAAGCTTTCGTTTCAGTTTCCTATAAATAAAAAGCTCTAGCTTTTAATCACTAAAATTTTTATTTGTAAAATCACTGAATTGTCCCAGAATGCAGCAGGACGAGCTGCAAAAATCACAAGTGATTTGCTACACTCTGTCAGCCACTGCAAAAACTGGACTTCTCAAGTTTTGCGTATGTAAAAAATATATTTTCTACCCGAAAATCATCAGAACAATCATCAGAATCTCGTTGCTGATGTTTGCTCAGACTCCACAAAAATGTTTACTATGACACTTACAATATCGCGCAAACAAATAACTTGCGAGATTTCCGTGAACGTCGCGAGACTCCAGAATTGTCACGGATTTTTGCGAAATTCCACGAATTTCGCAGAATTTTGTATTTAAGCACAAAAATGACAGAAATTAAAAGAAATGCGGAATGGAACAACTAACCATTGTCAGTACTGGTTGACAAGCTCTAGCATAAAAGCATCAGGTGAAAATTGGGCGAACTAGATGTAGATTCAAGCTATGCTGGCCAACAGATTCATTTTGGCTCCTTCAGTGTTCCCAGCACGTAGATTTTCTCCTACATCTCTGCAGAGATTGAAGCAAAGCAGAAAAAGCTTAATTATGCAGTGTTCATTGCCAATGCAGCTGTAATGACTGCCATTCATCACTTGACCTTTTCCCACACTACTTTTGGTCACAGGATCTGGGTATGAAGTATCAAGTTTTGTTCCGAATAAGAGTGAATCTACCCTACGCACCACTTTTGGTCACGGGGATCACAGTATTGATCCATGGAAAGTCTTGAGTATTGTAAACAGAACTGCTATATTCTCTTTTTTTTCTTAAGAAGTCATTTTGTTATTTTTTGCGAATTATTACCTCTACAAAATAAACGAAAAGTCGCTCTTGAAAAAAGGTAGAGGAATTTCGATTCATTCTTGGCTAAAAACTGTACAAACGCCGCTCCAGATTGGACCGTGGATTCAGCCAACTTCTATACCCCCCCCCCCCCGCCCTCCCCAATATGCATCAGTTTCCACGAACATGTTCGTCGTAACCTCTGCTCTTTTAACTCCTCTATGAAGTCCGTACGTATCCACAGGTATGTGGGTGCGAAAATGCTAATTTTTGATAAATCCGCGGTGGGAGCCTTGAATGACGCAGCGCAATAAAAGTGCAGAAACAGAGTAATAACTGTCAGAATTTGCCAAAACATCAACATCAAACATATGAGCAGTGGCGTAACCAGAATTGCCGTTCGGCGACAAAAAAATTTTTCGGATGAAGTGTGCGTGGCGTTAGCCATGCACCGCAATCCTTTTGGGATGCTTCGCAAATTTTTTGCTGGCCCATAATCTAAAATTTTGAGGAAAGGGGGAGTGACGGCAGCCACGCCTCGAAATAGATTTTTTACAAGTTCATTTTGGAAAATTTCGGAAGTAATTTCAATTATTTACGAATAAAAAGACACTGGCACATTTTTTATAATCGTAAGTTTTCAAAAACGCGATCCATTTTCGAGGGGGAGGGGAACCTCCTTGGTACACCACTGATATGGAGACATTTGACGATGCTGCAACAAATTTTTTTGCCTATTTTTTATAATTGGTTTCTATTGATCTGCCACTCTACTCTTCAAAAAAACTGAGAAATTGTCAAAGTCTTTTACTTTGCTTTGGGTTACAACAGTTTTCTAGGAGTGAGCCTCATTATTTGCGTACTTGGCACATTAGGCCCCCAATAGGGTGACATAAGCATTTTATAGAATTTAGTTCGCTCAGTGCCCTTGTTAGAGGGGAAGATGGAGTAGTTGTAATTGCTAAGATTGATTTAGATAAAGAGAAAAGTGAAATTGCAAGGGAATTGGTGTAGAATACTGTGTGTGAAAAGAATGACTACATACATGCCGTCAAAAATCTGAATACGTAAAAGTTGTGTTAGTATGAGGCTATAGATCAAAAAAAATTTGTAGTATATCTAAAGAAAAATTCACTCCCAAACAAGATGGGGAAGACGTAGAATCTAAAGCGATGCTAAAAAAAGGAATATTTTCCAAGTAATCGATAGAGAAACAGGTTTCATTCAAGAAATAACTTACGCAAAATAACCGTAAATTTACCTGCATTTCCATGTGAGTAACAGTCTGTAAATAATGTTTTCATTTGTATGATTCAGCGGTGAGAGAAAAACTCACTTTGAAGAGCACTTGTTCCGCAAGTTCTTATGGGTATATGATGTGATATCTGAAATTATCGTGCGCGCTGAAACGTAATCGACCTGCACATCACACTCTTTGAACAAATGGACTAGTTTTCGATCCGCTTAAAAGGTCTACGATCACGTTCACTCGTAAAAATATCGCTCATTGTTCTGGTAGAATAAAAATTTCTGAATACTGCGAAGATTGCCAATCATGGAAAAAGGCCAACGTTCTTATGAGATAACTCATCGACTTCGCCGAGATAGTGACTTACTGGTCGGAATCAGTGAATCATGCCAAACTAGAACCACTTTAGTATCCTCTTACTTTGTGACCCTTTATGTAAACAAAAATCAGCCTTTTTTCTAGCGAGAGCATATGACATTTGTAGAATGAGGCTACAACAGGGCCCGGCATGAGTTCATTCCTAGGCTTCTTGAAAACGAAGTCCCGCTTTGATTTTCGCGAATTTTCACGAAGTACCCCTTGACTCTAATCCCTAAACGTAAAAAAACGCTCAAAAAACGAAACGTCAACTAAGGAAATCGTCAATTTTTGGCCTCAAAAACGAAGTCCAACCTTTTTCCTTACAGCCTGCGCTGGGCCCTGAGCTACAAGCATGGGCTATAAGAAAGACTGGTGTGAAGCGTGCATTACATTAAACAATGGTGGAAGGCATGAACTTCACTTGTAAGCAAGAGGTTTTGGAGTTAGAAGCTCTAAATAATTTTTTTTATTTTGGTGCCCATCTTCACTGCACGTACGGACCATAGTTTCACTCAAGATGAATCTAAAGTTGACTAGAGAGGAAACTTGTGATACGAAAATAAAAGATAAGTGGATTAGAGCTCTGCACAAGGTAGCATTTAAATTCAAGCAATCAAATTCCGTTTGCCTTTGTTATGTATCGCTTCAGAATAGCCTGCACCGATGAGAGGACGAAGTTGAAGGAAAAAAGCATAATGTAAAAAAAGCTAGCGGAGAGCTAAAGATAGGCAATTTGTTTTTGCGGGCCAAACGAGGAAAAAAGTCTGAAATAGCTTGGGTTGTAGTAGTTGTAGTAGTTGAGGCTTGAGCTAAACATAGATTTGCGTTAGGAAAATTTGGGTGTTTTTGTGACGAAGGGTCACACAGTTCTCAGGAGGTCTTGATTATAAAAGAAATATTTTCACAATATTCATTCAAATATATTTTCGAAACTATTTTTCACTTAAGGTCGCTCAAGCATATACTCTGTAGAGCTGTTTCTTATGACCTAAACCTAACTGGATTACCATGAAAGTGAACGATAGAGGAGAAGGAGATTTTTGATTGGGACAAATATGGCAAGATAGGTGAGAATTGGTCATAATAAAGGGTAAAAGTCTTTCAACTCACACACCTTATTGAGGCAAACTAGATGTTGTACATATTGACATGAACTAAGAAAAGTAGGTCGCCACGTGGGTAGACAATAGCAAAAATTCAACTACCAAACTAATGGTTGTTATATTAACACATAAAGCAACGGAAGGCATATTGGGATCAATAAATGTCGAAAATAGCAATAGAGGGAAGAATGGAAGCTGAATTTGATGAAGAAATCAATAAGGGCAACAAAAAGAAAGAACATTTTAGGATTTTTCATATCAAAGCATACGCCACAGGGTGAGCTCTTTAGGAATTAAAGCAGAATGTCTCTTTGTGTAGATTTGTTTCAATCAGAACCTTTTTTTTCTGAAGCGATTGCCCAATATTTGCACAGTGCAGCTGACTGGTCATGCTAGGCGGTAACTGATTATTTATAGGATTTACTTGGTATTCTTTATTTTAAAAGGACTTATCAATGCGCAAGGGTAGTCGACGTGCTAATTATAAAATTAAAATCGCTCCAAATTTCCTACTACCGTGCCAGGATTATCCACAGGGTTTTGAAGGACCCCGCATATTATTATTATTATTATTATTTATTGCGTAGGAATTTCCTATGCATATTACATTCAACAGAACACAAAATCTAATAAACAACACAAATCAACACAACAAACTAGAAAGGCCTAACAATGAAGGAAAAAAGCTTAAACGATGAATACTATTACAGCCTATTTTTGATTCACCGCATTATCAGAGGAGGATGAGTAAAATTATCACGAGAGAGCGTATAAGAGGCCAATAATTAAATTCTAGGAGAAAAGGAATTTTTCCACATATTTAGATACCAGATCAAAAGCGGGGCAATTCTTTTCATTCACTCAATCCTCCCGAAGTTCAATTTGATAAATGAGTTGACTCAAGAATAAAACCGAGTCTGTTAACAAATGCCACCTACTTACATAAAAGTTTTGAAAATCGAAATTATTCACAACTCTCTGAGTAGCATGTTTAATGTGACAATAGCTGGAGTTCAAGGCATACATACTTGAGATCAATACTTCGTATACTCACAAAATGTTAGAATTTTTTGAATGGCTTGCTATTTAGAGAAAATGATTCACTTCAGGGAGAATTCATTGAAATTTGTATACCCTACTTTCAGGTGTAGGCCACGGGGGATTTCTTCCAAAAATCGGCCAGCCCAAAAAGCCAGAGGACTTCGCGACCAAAAGATCATGTAATTTGCTGCTATTGCCTAAGAAATCGTGAGGATTGAGATTCGCTTCCAGTAACACAGTGAAAAGGCTAAGCAGCTCTCATAAAAAATCGAAAAAATGCAGCTTATACACCTGAAAGTAGGGCAAAATGCGGCCGTAGGGTAATCCGAGTTTATTTTCCGCAAAAGAGCAGAACTTACTGAAAGCACAAGATTCGCAGATAAAAGTGATGCACAGCAATATATAGCAATTGATGTGAAGCGCTTCCACAGGAATATAATGGCCAGGAAGAATAATGGAATCCATATCAGATGCTACTAAATGGCCTCGTTCATTGCGCTATATATAAAGACGGTGTACATATTGTCAGCTATTAGGGTGCATAATTTTTTGCCGTTTTTACCCTAAACATCAGCATTTCTCGAGGACTGGGACACTTCCAAAGTTTGCAAATACTTGGTTTTACTTCTGTATGTATGAGCTATACGATCACGTGCGCGGGAGGAGCTCAAGATGTTTAGGGGCGGTAATTGCCATTCTACCCCATTCATTTTTTTTCTTTATTTCTAGCCACGGAAAAAAGAAGGGAATAGCACAAATGAATGTGCGATATGTTAAGCATACGCTAGGATAAATGGGGAACTTTTAAGACATTTGGGGCGGAGATACGATTTTTGAAGGAAAAGTTCGTTTTCGACCGTTATCAGATTTCAGCTCAAAAATTCCGGTGGAATACGATTTGGGCGGATTCTTCTAGCCATCTTGTAGAGCTTGCTTTGCCCTGTCGAATGATTACTCAAGCCACATCACTTGAAGGGAAGATAAAAAAGACGACAGATGTAGTTAAAACGGTAAAAAATTATAGGGCATCCTAATATTTTATGATCATTTATTCCAAGAACTAGTTAGTTCTCGAACCGGAAGACCAACTTTGCACAAATAGGGCATGTAATATGGGTTCCTTTCATCTATTAATATATACACAGCTACTCATATAATTGATCTCTTTTACTCTTTCTAGATTTCTCTGTCATCTCCAGTAATTGTGTAGCCTAAGGTCTCGGGCAGAGTTCACGCGATTTGTTCGTCGCGATTCAATCGCTACAAGACAAGTGTTACGAGTATACTGCATGCCGATCTTTTTGTATTTCGGTTGTGATAATTAGTTACGATTAGTGCTTTTGGAAAACTATCGTAATCGAAATGCAAGAAGATCACCATGCAATGATATTGTCATAGCTGCCTTGTCGCGATCAATCGCGACGATGAAATCGCGTGAACTCTGCCCAAGGCCCAAATGGATAGCTGGATAGTATGATTGTTGATGACGTTCATTACAGTCCCATTCCTTACAGCTACGGTAAGCGCCACAAGCAGCTCTGCACTGTTCCATGCACCTGTAGTAAACGAAGCTCCACCATTTACCCCACTCCTGGCAGCTAAAGTTGTTGCTGCTTTTGCATTAACATCTACAAGTGCTCTCGCGGATAAATCGACACGGCTTTTTACACTCCCCCTCCTTGCAGTTGCGATAAGAGCCAAGACGACAGCACCAGCTTTACTCTTCACTTTTCCTTACATTGCAGTGGATGCCAAAGAAACCTTTACACCGCCCCTTGCAGCTATGGAAGCCGCCAAAAAGCTCCACTATCCGCGTCCTTCCTACATCTGCGGTGAAAACCATAAGCTCTGTTATCCACTTTTATTCCATTCCTTATAGTTGCAGCGCATGCCGCGACAGCATCACTATAGCACCATCATCCGTCACGATTCCCTGCAATGTAGTGGTCGCCACTACAGCAACACCACCTACCATTCCATCCCTTGTACAGCTGCAGTGGGCGCCGCAACAGCAACGCCATCTCTTTATCCAATCCATTCGTTGTAGTCGGAGCGGATGCCACAACAGCATCACCATCCGCACGATTTATAGCAGCTGTAGTACTGAAATGGATGTAGCCACAGCACACCATCCGCGCCATTCGTTGCAGCTATGGTGGCCACTACAACATCACCATTCGCGCAACTTCTTACAGCTCTAGTGAACCCCACAAAAGCACCACCATCTGCTACATCTACTCCATTCCTTGCAGCTGCAGTGTACCCCGCAACGGGCAACACCATCTACTTCATCGACTTCATTCGTTGTAGTCGGAGCGAATACCACAACAGCATCACCATTTGCACGATTCTTTGCAGCTGTAGAGGGTCCACAACGGCACAACTTTCATTTGTCACTTACTCCATTTCTCGTAGTTGCAGCGGATGCGGCCAACGCCGACTATCCGCGCCATTCATTTTAGCGTAGTGGGCACCACCACAGCATCACCATCTACTGCATACCTCATTCCTTGCAGCTTCAGTGAATGCCACTACAGCAATGCCATCTCCTTCATCTACTACATTTGTTGTAACTGCAGCAAATAGCGGCGGCATCAACATCTGCACCAAATCCTTGCAGCTGTGGCTGATGTCGCACCAATCTCCAAGATTCAATTCCACTTTTACGCTTGGGACGCTTTGCAAACAATCAACAAGCTGACGTTCGATGAATTCTTTAGGCAAGTCATCTAAAATCTCGACTATCCTTTAACTATTACGAAGTTCTTTTTGTTGCGAAGTGATGACACGAAATATTTTTCGGTTTCTTCTTTCCTTTTTTTGAAGGGAGGCAATGGTCTGCACCAGGCAAAGAATTGAAACAAGCGCTTGTTAACGGGGGACAATCTTTGCATGGCGGCAAGGTTTACACTCTTTTTGATTACTGAGTTGGGCGTTGTATAATTGACAGTTGTTTTTGTAAAACTGTTAGTTTCACGAAACATGCAGCGGAATCCTGATGAAGTGATTGTGCACAGATTCTCCATTGTTATCCAGCGATGCCCGAAAAAATTGCTCCAACGAACTTCAGTGCATTCGGAAGATCGAAATAAAATATTTCATCCGCTATTGGTGTGCAGTAAAAAGCATCGCAGTTAGGAGCTATATCTAGCCGGTGGAGGCTGGACAAGGTAGCCATGGTGGGGAGAACACCGTCTTGGAACGCGGCACTGTATTGCTAACACTAAGATGGACGTATTGCACCCTCCTTTCTAGTCTTCGTCCTCAGTAATACTCTATGTGATATCTAATGTTCCCGCAGCTCTAGAAAAGAATTTGGAGCCGAAACGTTGGAACGTCAGTAGGATATATTTTTGCCAGAAAGAGACTGAATCGGAGTATCGGAGTCAAATTTCATTTATAGAGTGGGAGGCCAAATTCAATCTCTTTGGTCGTCCTGGGGACAGGTCTATCCGCTCTTCAAGCTACGTTGATTGGTGGGTTACTGTATGCAGAATGTATACAACTAGATATCCTGCACTCCAAAAAAATCACAAGATCAGCATCTGGTAAACCAAATTTGCTCTTTCTGGTTCGAGATTGAAGAAGTTCCCCAAATACTAATAACTAGATATTTTATTTGCAACTTATGTCCATGTATTCAGTCCCTGAAGATGGATTATTACTGCTTTCAGTTACGTCGTTGATGTGCACGTAACCAATATTAATGCCCGTCAATGACGTTTCTTGCAAAGATAATTCGTTTAACGTATGTTGCAACAGTGCATGTGCCCTTCGAATGACGTTCTCCGTACGATGCATTTTTTACAGAATTTTGTCTGAATGACTCAAAGGAAAACGAATTCCTTTTTTATGCCTGTTTCCTTGTTCAGATTTATAAACTAGACTTGCAAGAGGTCCAGGTAATAATTGGGAATTCTCTACGCTAACTATAAGTTAACGATTTTGTGAAGAAAAGTCAGTTTTGAAATGTAGGCCATTCTCTTATTATCCAGCACAGAACGACGGATGAAATAGTTTCATAGAAGTGAAAGTGCAAGAAAAGTTCTTTTGCGAAAGCATCTTGACCTTATATCTTTTGTATTGAATTATAGGTGAAATGAAGTGCTGTTGCACCAAATCGTAATCTTTTATTATCGCGCACACTTATTTGACATATTTACTCTGGGTTCTCAGAAAGAAATGGGCCCTGCGCTGCAATATGCAAAATTCTCTGGACTGCGAATGGACTGCATTAAAGAAATAAGAAATACAATTTGTTATCGCCCGCTACCACCCACACCCACACACTATTCAGACTACATTATTGCAAGAGAGTGAATTACCAAGTGCAAAAGCCATACTTTTGCAGCTGCGCTTACTCCTTTCACGTACAAAAAGATACACAAGAACAAATGAGAAACATTTTGTATTGCATGTAAGACATGTAGCTGGAGATTACGATTTTGTACTGGTTTAATGAAAAAATGTTGCTCCCAGCTGCTCCAAAATATTGTAACTTTGTTACTAGGATCAATATGCGAGAGTCCACCTGCACCTCCAACACCAAATAGTCAAAGACAATAGACCAAATAGTCTGAATGAACAAATGGAATGGTATTAGAAGATGCGTTAAATCTTACTGAGTAAAGATAATTTAGTAAATTTGAGTCAAGCATATAGTGTGGTACGCTGATTGGAAACCAGTGCTACCCGTTTCCAAGCAAATTTGAACGATCCACTTCTCCTTTCTCTCCCACAAACTCATCACGAGTGAAATTCAGGAAAGCAATCAGCAGCTTAAATTTCAGAGACTGTCGAAGATTGGCTATTTAAGATCGTATGGCACACTGTGAAACACTATTAACGTAAAGGCGATTCATAGCACGGAAAGACCGCGGACGTATCGGCGTCTTTCTGATTCAGCGCTCTTTCGTTTCTCTCACCATCTGCTGTCTCCCCTATGCACAAACTATCTTGGTTCGGACGCAACGGCGCACAGTCTTTGCGTGTCATGAAGCGCCTATACCGTCGAGTCGCTGACCGCTTGGCCATAGACAGCATGCGCTAAGCGGCCAAAAGCTTGTACCAGTACAAATTGCTATAGTGCTATAAGTCGTGCTCGTGACATTTCAGCCACACCGTTTGTGAACCTACGACCAGCCCATGCGGTCATCGAGATGATACCCCGTAAAATCTCTAAAAAGCAATGATTTCTTGGGGTGAAGCTGTCTTGAACTAAACTTCTACAGCGTTTGTAAATTCTAGCGCACAATTTTGTTTCTAAGATGGAGTAGTTTGTGGTCTCTGAAATAAAATAAATCGAGCTTGACTAAACTCTACAGAAACGGTAGAGGCCAAATATACCCTTTTATTCAACTGGCTTGGGCTAGAAGGCGGGGCTTCCTGACCTAATTAAACTAGGTAATGATCAGAGAGCACGCGCGGGAGAGACGCAAACTGCGTCGCGGGCGCGAACGACCTTAATTAGGTCGCAAAGCCCGCCTTCCAGCAGCTAAGCCACTTGAATCAGAGGTTATAAGTGGGAGAGAGCCATGAATGATGAGACTTATACGAAAACAGGCGACAGTGTTTGAAGACAGCGGCTTGGCAAATCTTCGCTTTCAGTCAATCTTGGAAGTGGATGGATGGAAATCTAGAACTGTGCTGCGCAGGTTGTAAAAATGTGAGGGCGAAGCCGCTATTTTGACGTAAGGAATGGAAATGGATGTGAGACAGTATCCGTTCAGCCCATCAACGGAACATATCTCAGCTGACCCTCCATTTATGTAAGCGGCGCTCGGATTTCTGTTTTCACTTTCAGCATCTCATGTTCAATAGAGATAGATAAAAAGCAACAATCTGATATATCTAGATGGCACAGTTTTCGGCTCAGGTTCAGAAATGAAAAAAAAATCCTAGTCAGAAATTCTGCCTGTCAGTGCTTTAGAGCAGCAGATAGAAAGTGGCGGAGTTGCCCACAAGTTATGAAACAATGGTAATATTTTTTGCTATTGACATTGCTGCTATTTCAGTTTGAGCAGGGAATAAATTTACTTTTCACCGCATTACAATACCATGCACACCTCTAGTAATCATGTCTTGTCAGAAATTAAGATAATGCCACTTCTGTAGTTGTCTACCCCTTATTGTTTGATTTTACAGTTATCGTAAAGGGCATAAGAACAGAGCTGTGGCACTGATGAATTCATTTCATTTCTACCAATGGTCTGTGACCCGTTAGAGTACATTCCATTTTCACGGCTTATACTGTGCTACACCTTTTATTACATCAAACAGCTGACTGTGACGCAATAATATGGCTAAAACCACGTTATACTGTGGAGTTCTGTTCCTTCTTTTTTTTTCATAACACATGCAGAAGCGGACCTCTCGTTATAAAATCGAAACCAGTGAAGGCCTCCCAGCCATTTCACATAGAAATCTAGGTGCTAGCCAGTTGCCTAGTGGATCGTATAAACTTGGCCGCATAGGCCTTTGCTTTGCAAAAATTGTGCTCACCGTGCTTGTACTTTGATTTTTACGGTATGTTGCTGACTGGCACAGAAGTTTTTTGTCTTCGTTTCACCTGCTGCCTGCCTTCTGGCGCACTTGGTTAGTGAAATAGTCATATGAACACCTGAACTCAAAATGCAGTACCAACTTGTTGCTGTGGATACTCATAAAAAATGTGGGAATTTCTCGCCAGTACGTTTCTGCATACAGTCGAGTAGATTTAGCGGTAAATATAGTGTGCTTGCACAGAAGGTGAAATGCGGTGAAATTTGCGCGTGAACAAGTAGCCACGTCAGTACCGCGGGTATCTTGCGCGCGCAATTGGCCGGCGTCACTGTCGAAACTATTTCTTCACGCGCCAATTTCACCGCATTTAACCTTTTGTGCAAGCACACTATATTTACCGCTAAATCTACTCGACTGTAGTTTGGTAGCGCAAAAATGTGTTTAGACATATTTTTTTCACGAAACAATTTTAAATAAAACAAACAACAACACATGCTTCTAACAACATACAAGTGGTGAAACGAACTTCGGCGAAAGAAGAACTGAAAATTAATCAGCAGGCTTTTAGCTAAGCGACGAAGTAGGTTTATTATGATTTAATTACTAACAAAAGCAAATTGCCTTAGTCGATATTCCATGATCGTGCTGGATGTTTCCAGTCTATATATAAGAAGATCTTCTACTGCGATAACTTCAATTTTCCACGGTGAGCAGGGCGTTGGAGGTTGCGCACGCTAACCTGACCTTCCAAAATATGATAGATGTCGCAGCAACACATTACAGAAGAATTTTTCAAAGTGTACAACGATTATTGATGTTGTTAGTCAAATAAACTTCAGCAACGAGGAAAAGTTTCAGAAAAGTGTTCACACAAACTTGTATACAGTCGAGTAGATTTCCCGCTTAATATAGTGTGCTTGCACAGAAGGTGAAATGCGGTAAAATTTGCGCGTAAACAAATAGTTTCGACTGTGACGCCGGCCAACTGCGGGCGCAAAATGCCCGTAGTACTGGCGTGGCTACTTCTTCACGCGCAAATTTCACCGCATTTCACCTTCTGTGCAAGCACACTATATTAAGCAGAAAATCTACTCGACTGTACCTACCTTATATACCCCTTATGGATACTGTACGGGAAGCCTAACCTAAGCCGCTGCCCAACAGGCAGCTCATATGAACCAGTTAAGGCCTACTCACACAGTCGAAAGGAACACCGTCACCGTGACGTCACAAGAAGGCGAATGGGACCCCTCCCCAGGGCTCGCAAATCTCTGCTCGGGGGTGCGCCAGATGAGGAGCCCCGGAGCACCAAAATGGGTGAAATGGGAGGGCTCGGAGCACGAGTGGCAAACTTCCGCCAGGCAGAGCCGGGATCCTCTCATTTTCGCTCCGGAGGTATTCCTTCGACTGTCTGAGTAAAAGTTCTACATCAAACTACAGGCCCATCCTACAGTCTCCGAGAGATCCAACTAGGGGCTCGAGTACGATAGAAAGTACAAATCAGACTGAAATTATATCAGCTGCGGCTTAGTAGTTTATCTAAAGCTAGTGGCTCGGGAGAATTGCTAGCTTTTTATCTCTCCTTGGCCTTCTAGATGCGCCGAATCAGGGGTGTGTTGAAGTCAAAAATATATTTTGTGCGTTTTCCGGCCTTGGGGATCGCTGGAAGGGCTGGACGAGCGGTTCGCCAACTGAATCGCGATCGACTGTTTGAGCTCAGCCAGTTGCCACCGAATTGAATAGAATCACGATCTCTTGCAGCCATCGTTTTTTTTACCAATTTTACCTCCAGCCTCCTCAGCAATCCCCAAGACCGAAAAACGCCAAAAAGACATTTTTTTACTCTCCAAACACAGCTCCGGACTCAGGAGGTCCTGCAGGTCATGTAGGTTCAAAGCTCGCAGCAGCAATTTTCCCGAGACTCTAAGGCCTTTAAGGCGTTCAGTATTTACATAGAAGAGCTATTTGAACCTGCCGACATTGCCTCCAAGTGGAAGAAACCAACAGCCACAAAGCTATGACAACATTTTCATGCTATAAAATTGCGAACTTCAGTAAACGTCTAGTCAGAGCTAGGAGATTACCGGGACCAAGAAGGTAGTGCGTGGTCACACCTACCCTATTATGGTAACCTACAAGCGAGAGCTTTTGAGCGGTCAAAATCTAAACAGTGAAACTGGAGGGTGCTGAGAGACTAGTCTAAGGTGCAGCTATCTGCCGAATTCATTCAAAATAAGCCTCTGCTCCAAATCTTCTTCAGAGTTCCTACCGTGATCTTACAGTAGTAAGGGTGATTGATGGTTCGTTCAACACTGTAGTAAATCTAGATTGATGCTAGCTCTGCAATACGAAGTCTACACAACCGCGAAAACTCTTTATAGAGAGAAATATCGAAGAACAAACGTTCGATACATCTTTAGGACATCTTTAGAACCCTATATGCCCCAGTCTACATGTCAGGTTAGTCATGTATAACATGTATAGTCAAGTTTATGTGTGAATCCGCCGGTTTTGACGTGAATTTGCCAGTGATGAGAACCAAGCTAACGTGTTCCGGACTTGGCATGAGCTAATATTTCGCCATTTTGAAAGCCAAATTTGACTGTTTAGTAAGTTGTTTTGTTCAGTGACTTTCGCACCAATCATGTTTGAACGTTTTTTTTTTGAGGTCTCTATAGGCGAGTTTCATTGATACAGTGGACTTCTCAGGCTTTGACAAATGGCGATAAAGCCGAATTGTTCGCCGTTGAATAGAATTTGATAAAGATTTTTTGCATAAGGAAACACAACATTTCAAAAATGAGTTTATTCATGCTTTCGAAACTATCAAAACTCTTCTCGACCATCCTAACCGTGCATCGAGTTATCTACAGTTTGCCAGCATCGCAGATCGATATTTCGATCTTTGGGGTTGCTGAATGTTCTCGTCTTCCCCACCTCTTCTCTGCAAAAAGAGGCTTGTTTTTGTCTCATGGAAAATACAATCTTTCCAGATAATTCGAATCCCGTATAACTTCCTCATTGCTTTTTGAGCCAAAAACGACTTACGGCCGAGCTCTGTCTGCGGCTGACGTTTTCTGGCTCTGGCAAGAACGGGTTAGATCGTGACAGGCTCTCAAATGGAAAAGCATCATAAGAACCTCAATTTCGTCGCGAAGTCCACTATAGACGACGTGTGCAATTTTCTCCGGCACTGACGTCAGCAAGCTCACGCCATCAAAGTTTTCGCCAATAGGCTTTCGCAGTGCCGCGCATTTTACCCACAAAAGCGGGTCTTGCAGCGGAAGCGGGCTGTGAGCTGGATTGACCCGCGGGTGGTCGGGTGGCTCCGACTGCCGTGGCTGGCTTCGACGACCGGAGTGTACGACGGCGGGGGCCCGCCGCCGTCTCGACGATGCGACGGAGAGGGCCGCGGCGAGCCGCACCCAGCGAGGGCGAGCGCGCGGCCGCGGCGCGGCGATCAATGGGCGCGGCTCAGAGGGCTGCGCCCCACAGCTGCCTCGCCGCGTTCCCCTTCTCTCTCCTCGCTGCTCCAGCAAGCAAGCATTGTCGACGTTGACGGTGTGTTGCATGTTTCACGACAGCTAGGTTGAATTTGGGTGTGTGAGGCAAGGAACCATCTGTTTCCCGTGTACCATCAAGTCGCCAACAGCAGCAACAGCAGCACCGCGCCAGTAGCAACATTGTTCTCTCCTGCGAAACATCATAATGAGCGAACTCGACCAGCTACGTCAGGAGGCTGAACAGCTCAAAAGCCAAATCAGGGTGAGTCACTTAATCACTCTTCATACTTGCTTCTTAATTATAACTTTCCGCTTTGCTTTCTCATTTCCTTCTCGGTAGCATAGTTCTCCTTTTTGTGAACCCTCGTCAATCGATTCAGTGCCATCATTGCATATTATGTCTAGGACGAAATGGTGGGAGCGTTTGAAACATTTTCATTGATTTCTTCTTCGTCATTCTTAGTGTGACTTATCCTTTGTTTGTCTGGTACAGTAAATGCTGCTGGAGAAACAAGTTTCATAGTGAGGAATGAATGTTTCTGTGCCATTAGATCCATGATTTACGTTCCTTTTTTCTTCTTTTGGGGTAGAATTTATAGCTCTTTTTGCGTCTGGTAAGGAGACGAGGTTTCGGAATATTGTTTGAAGTGTTCAAGTTCTATTTTGTACTGCTGCTTCCTAAAGAGTTCAAATCAGTCAGTACCTCTACCTTCACAGAAAGTTCTTATGATGACCCTTTCCATCAACATGCTATTTTCCATAGAATGCCTTGCTGTACCACCCCGCTAAATCCATTTCAAGTTCAAAACCTGGGTCTGTGTATTCAGTGTGACTATCTGGTCGTTATTCATCGGAGCTCATTAGCGTAGTGATAGGCGAAGGAGAGAGACGCAGGAAATGGTTACCCGGGAGTCGGATAAGGGTGTAGAGAGGGAGCGAGGCTCATCGATTGTGAGTGCCTCGCATGGCTCGCCTTATGCAGGCTGCCCGGATAGCGAATGCTGAGAGAGGAGACGCAGCGTCAGCGCAGTATGTTGAGCTAATGTGTCCCAGTGCGCGACAACTACTCAGCTTGATACATGCTTACTATAAGTACGTTGAAAAAATTGGAATTTTGGAGAAATTACCCAGGGAAAGGTCATGCGCGATGGCGAGGGGGAGAGACAGTACTCGCTTTATGTAGTGAAAAGTAACCAGCTACACTTCAGGCAGCGTTCTTGAAACTCGGACATGTACTGACACTATATGGAATCTTAATCTGGGGGATAGTTGAGTCGAGAACAGCAAATTTCATCCACTTATTTCACCGCTTTCCCCTCCTTTACTGCATTCCTTTCTGTGTAATGAAATCACGGCTTTCGCATAGTTGTCGACTCTTCAGCATTCATCAAAAATAATCGCTCAGAGTTGTTCCTCTTTTCCTTCAAATTCGCCATGGAATGGAAGGTTTCTTATGTCGCAGTGTCTTGGATCCAGCATCCGTAAATATCTACACTACTGTCCGGATTGTAATCGATCTGATACAATAGTCCGTAGTCCGAAAGATGCTGAATTGTTTTTTTCTGTATCTGTACAAAATTTGATGTGGTAACATTCAAAAGCTCAATTGTTTACCTCATTTCTGCTTTTCTGTCCTGCTTTCAGCTGAAGATAAAAAGCGTTTGAAATGTTTTGAACTGGCTTTGAAATGTTTTTCCTCATTCAAGTTGGAAAACACCTGTCAGGAGTCGATCTTTTCTCTGGATCAATTTTTGCTGTCACTCATTTGTGCGCTTCCGCGGGTCAGTAAACAGCTGCCCTCTCGAATGTGTCTGTTTTTCATTTTGTCAACCTTCACTGGATGAAAGCAGAGTTGACTTTTTTGTTTTTTTTTTGGTTTCATAAGCGTACCATTTCGACTTCATTGTGAACAAAGTACTAACTTGCTTTGTCCTGTAACGTAAAATACGGAATTCAGCTGCGTAAACATTGAAGTGTGATTGAGGTCGCACGTATGACTGACTTGCTTGGCTTTCAACGCACTATAATCTCAAATACTCTAAAAATCACAACTTTCAATCACCAACCTTGTGAAATTTCCATCATTTCGCTGTGGCAATATATGCAATAATGGTCGGTTTAGTATGTGATCTCGCTTTATGTAAGAGTTAAGGTTCGCTGATATGTCCCTATAAATTTCATTATCCTCAATTACCTAGTTCAAGCTGACTGCGTTGCCTTAGCATTTACTTGAACTGTACTGAAATAGTATCAGGATGAATATGTGTGTTAAATGAACCGTTTGTGAAGGTATTCATAGCTCTTCACAAGGCGTTCTGTGTTCACAAATGCGGTACGCACAAGGTTTGACGTTATCATGTAGCGCACTATAAATTTCTTAGTAGTATACGTCCCCTGATTCTCAACGTAATTCGTATGTCTGTTATCACAGAACTCGCTTTGGCATATCGAATCACTGTACTGAAATAGTATCAGGATAGTGATCAGGAAATTGAATCTTCTATATTAGGAACTAAATCTGTACTTTATCAGAAACTGGAATTTGTCTATTTGGGTTTTGGGGGTTTGAGTCTCAGTTTTTATTGAGCGTTATGAGGCCACTCCTGTGATATTGATTTTATTCAAGGAAGCTCGAAAGGCAGCCAATGACACCACTTTGGCGAGCGTTGCATCGAATTTGGAGCCCATTGGGCGGATTCAGATGAGAACACGACGGACTTTACGTGGACATCTAGCTAAGGTAAGTAGCACTTTTCATTTGGATCAGGTATTTCATAAAATCTATTTTTCTAAAACATGTTCATTTCAGATTTATGCTATGCACTGGGCCTCTGATAGCAGGAACCTCGTGTCAGCCTCCCAGGATGGTAAACTAATAGTATGGGATTCATACACTACAAATAAGGTAAGATAGCTACAAACTGCTACAAGCATGTCACGAGATTTCAGCTTAAGTTTTCAATTGTAATTTCATTGTTGCGCATGAGAAAGTGAACGCATAAAAGAATGAATGATGATATGTTTTGGCGCACGTTTCAAGGAAGAAATATATGACTAATGTGGATTTTTCTGTTTTGCCTCGACTACCGCCTGTAGATGGGCAGGCAGTAGTCAAGGCAAAAGTGCTGTCCAGTTGCTCGTATAAGCGAAAGTACACTTGTTCATCGCGGAATCGTTCATAGGAGTGCTGATTCGAACGTTTTCTTTAGGCAAAGATCTTGCCGCTTATTTCTCATTCACATATTAAGGGCAGTAGGTTGAGGCTGCATATCATGCACGACTGGCTTTTCGTAAATGCAGCTTCAAATCTTGCGAAGTTGGTGTTTACAGACGTACTTCTCGAAAACGCAGTTCTTATTGCTAAGCAATAATTCATGAGTAGATAATCGATCAACTGCACGGAAACAGGTCTTAGTGACTATTCTTTGACGGCTAAGTAGTTAAGATGAAGTATATAATAAATAAGAGTTTCAAGGTGTACATGCCTTCTACTGTGACCGTTAAAACGATTTAGCTTGTCGAAGGTCGTATAATGAAATTGTGTTCGCACGACTTTATATGTCGTTATAGCACAGACAGAAATTCTTGATCGATCAAACTTTCGTGACTTAGCGTCATATCTTTTGGATGGAGCTTTTGATGCATGAGCAAAATTGAAGTACCATGTCATTTCCATCATATTTGAAGCAATTATGAGTAAAAAGATAAACTCATTTCTAGGGAAACATTAGCTTTTGTGCGGAAAATCTAAGCAAGTTGTGCAAAAGAAAGAAGCTGAACGCGATTCAACATAATTAGTATACGGTAGTAAAAGCCGTATCTCACTGTTCACGTCTTTAGGCAAGTTAAAGTTATCTCTAGATATTTTGCGCAGTTTTCCGTTACTCTCTATGCCTAAGCTCCTATTAATGTTTATGACACAGCTCCTCAAGTTTCCAAGAAAATATCTCAGTGAACTGATGACGCGGTACTTCAGTAAATAGACCTGAAAATTGATGAAAAAGTGTGATGGTTCACAAGATTATCATGGAGCTACGAACAGCTGGTGTGAAAACATTCGTTGGGAATTGACTTTTCTCTGAATGTCATAAAATTTCTGAACTGTGCATTCAGGTCCATGCGATTCCTCTTCGCTCGTCCTGGGTTATGACATGTGCCTATGCTCCTTCTGGTAGTTTTGTAGCATGCGGAGGTGAGATTCTTCATAATTTGATTGAGACAGAGCGACTAAGCTGTGAAACTGTAGACGCAGTTCAAAGAAGGCGATTCTGAAGATCAGGAAAGCTAATTTGTAGCTAGGATGTCTGTAGCTAGGAGTCTTGTTCATAAACTGTTGAAGTAGTCACTGTATTTTCGCATAGCCGGAAAGCCTATTCTTGGGGAGAGGCGGAATTTTGTTTCTATAAAGTGCATATTTGTAATTATGATTTTTCATTCAACGTTAGGCGCGACAATGCACTTTTGATTTATCTATACAAATCATAGTGTGAAAGAAGGGAGGGACTTCTGTTCTGCTTATATAGAAAAAGTGAATCACTTTTTTGGGTTCAAGTTCTTGGTAGGCGACCGATCAAAGAGAACAAAACTTTTGTCTCTCAAATGGCTGCCATGACATTAGATTTAAATGGCTCGATTGTATGCATTATATCTCTTCATATCATCATTTCCAGGATTGGACAACATTTGCTCTATCTATTCACTCAAAACTAGGGAGGGAAATGTGCGAGTCTCGCGCGAACTGCCTGGCCATACGGGATATCTGTCGTGCTGCCGATTCCTCGACGATAACCAAATTGTGACATCTTCTGGCGATATGACTTGGTTAGCATTTTTGAACAGCTAATAATTTCTGTGATTCGTGTTGGTTTAGAACGGAGCATCATTTCAATAGCGCAGATTTAGGTTGTTGCGAAAAGTTTGTTTCATAGTGTTGCAGCTCAGTGTCTGTGCGTGCAACAATGCTAGCAGTGTTACAGATTTGTGCTGAATGTCTTTCTCAGCTTTGGCTAACGCTCTAATGTCATATAAGACTCAATTTCAGTCCCAGTTGCACTTTAGATTCAATAATAGGTTTTTGTGCGGCGAGAAAATCCAGTAAGATTAGATTGCGACCTCACATTTCTCTCCTCCCTTACCCGTCTTTTTACAGGCAATCACGATTATAAGTCGTGGCGATGCGCATTCATTTGTTCGTGTAGTCTCAATCAGTCGCAGTGGTCGAGATTTCGATAATTGATAGCATATCAACAGCATTAGAAATGTCTTCTCAAAATGGGCGAAATGTCTTCCCGAGATTTCTAGGAACTGGACTGAACTTCTTTGATTCAATTTTCTGAATTTCAGTTCAGTCGATTGGCTCAATGAATTCGTGATCTTTATGCACGTTTACCACTGATTTTTCTTTTATGCAAGTTAGTTGCATAGGTAACCTAGGAGACATAAGTTTTTGTGCGAGACTATCTCACTTCATCGAATAGATGTTCACATGCTGCAGCACCAGTACATATGGCATGACAACAGTGAAATGCAAAACGGTGGCACCGTACATTTTGAACTTCTGTTGGAGCTGAGAAGGGACTGATTTACTGCTGCACCCCCGGCAGGCTCATAAATAGTAGCTAATTGTCATTTTGATCCGACAAAAGAGATGCGACCTTCCTTGCACACATATGCAGGAGCACTGTTTTTTAGGATAAAAACAAATGTGATAACTTTGAGCTCAGTTTTCTTAACACGATTTTTTATAGTGCATTATGGGATATCGAGACCGGACAACAGTGCACAGCCTTCACTGGTCATACTGGAGATGTTATGTCACTAAGTCTTGCTCCGGATATGCGTACCTTCATTTCTGGAGCTTGTGATGCAAGTGCTAAGGTGATTTTTTGACTTCTGCATCCACATCGCGATTGAAGATATAATATTCTGCTTCAGCTTTGGGACATAAGAGATGGTATGTGCAAACAGACATTCCCTGGTCACGAGTCGGATATTAATGCTGTTGCTGTACGTGTTTTTTTTTAAAGATAGTTTTAAAACTGTCTTAACGGAAATTTTCTAGTTCTTTCCTTCTGGTTATGCCTTTGCCACTGGATCTGATGACGCCACATGTCGTCTATTCGATATTCGTGCCGATCAAGAGCTAGCCATGTATTCCCATGATAATATTATCTGCGGTATGTCACTTTTTCTATACGTAAGAATATGCCGTATGACTTTGTGTTTCGAAATTCTTCATACAGTAAAGGAGAAGTATTATCTAGGTATCACGAGCGTGGCATTCTCAAAGTCTGGGCGACTGCTGTTCGCAGGTTACGACGATTTCAACTGCAATGTTTGGGATTCGATGAGACAAGAGAGAGCAGGTAAATGGCTTTTCGGATTTGCTTTTCCAGATTCGGTTCTCTACTCTGCTTTTTTTTTCAATTGCTGGATCTTTGTCCCAACACTGATTCACTGTGCATGTCGTCAGATAGCTGCGTCTTTTTGCTCGGGATCTCTTTCCGACTTCAAATAGCTTTTTGAGACCGTTGGTTTGCCAATGGCAATCGTGGTTGGCGCTCTTTGCGCTGCCCTTTGTCTCTAGCCGCACAGCGTTCATCGTCCTACTCTCTCGCGTGCTATCTCTTCCGTGCTGGTCTTCAGGAAATTACCAGCGCTTTGCGGACACGCGCGATATCGATTTTTCATGTATGAAAATAATTCAGCTGTGAGGGATGCCAGAGTTTAAGCAGGACTTGAGCTGGGTTTTATAAAGGCTTGAGTAGGAGTGGTGATATATGAGTGGGTATCTTGGGCAAATCCATGGTGCGCCCCATCCTGCCATGTAACGCAAAGATAGCACATTAGATGCAGATGTCGTACGTTCTGCATGTACCTTTCTTTGGATCTTCTTGTTGTGTTGATGAAAATGGTCAGGATAAGATTGTTTTGCATTCCAGGTGTGCTGGCTGGTCATGATAACCGAGTATCATGCCTTGGAGTAACGGAAGATGGCATGGCAGTATGCACCGGTTCGTGGGATAGTTTCCTGAAAATCTGGAACTAACGAGGACTGCGCATAATAACCCTCTTCCTGACCTGCCCGTTGTCGTCTTCTCCCCAGCAAGGTTATCGTCGTGAAGCTTTCTCTATCCTGTGTTTCGAGTAAGGCTCAACGTGTGGAGGAAAGGTACTGCATATTCATATGTGTGGTTCTTTTTCTGCGTCGCGACGATTTCCGAAATAGGTGATGTTTGGAGTTTGTCGAATATATCATGGTCTCCCTTTCGCTGCTTTTGCGTTTCTCCTCCTCTGCTTGTCCTTCATACAGGATCATCGCGACAAGCATTGTTTTCATACTGTCACTCTATCACCCGCTAATTTCTTCCTTTCGACTCTCTCCTAGTTGCGTGTGCACTCTCATTTTAATACATTTATTTATTGTTATCGACCGAACGACGTTCGTTTCTCGTTTTGAAACATGTTGTAATTTGCTACATGCGGTGGTGCCACGTTCACCCCTCACCCAGCTCGCTCCTAGTCTTCATTACCTGTCACACATCGTCCATCATTCGTTGTTGCAAGATAATTTCTCATTTGTTTCGCAAAAAACTGATTGATATTATTGAATTATTTATATATGGATCATTGTAAAATTTTTTGATTTGATGTTCTTGTCATAAACTGATTGCTTTCTTGTCTTGAAAAAAGCGCTTTTTCTAGTGTTCACCTTCAACGCAGTGGAATTATAAGTGTACATATCGTATTTGTTATGAACACAACTATCTGGACACATGACGAAGGTTTCGCCGAATTAATGTGCGTGGGATCCGAAACTGTTATGATTAACCATATTGAAAGCATGTGATCTTCGAGATTGTTGATGCTATGTGAGCGGCAAGCAAAGCGAAATGAAACTGCTTTGTGATGAATGTCGCCATAGGCAATTAATGGATTACCGCCGGATTGAGGAATCGTGTAATAGATGCGGCGACAGCATCAACTAAACATAATCGACATTTGCGATCCCAAAGGACTGCGCAACTCACATAACATATGATATGCTTTGTATATATGAAGTAAGGAAGCGATGTGATTGTTAGAATGCGGACAAAATTACAACCGCTTGTTTGGTTTGGTAAGCTGACAAAATCATTGAAAAAAGAAAAGTAAGGTCTTAAAAATGGAAAACAAAAACCTAGTTAATCGCTCTACTAGTTGGAGTAGTGAGAAGGCATATTGCTCCCACTCTTTTCCAAGCATAAAGTAAGAAAACTTCAAAGCGAGTTCTGTCACAAGTTTGAAATTTTTAAAATGCATTTTGAAGTGTATAGCATAAAATGAAATGGTCTTACAAAACTCTCATGTGATAGAAAAATCATGTAGGCAGCACACATTGTAAAAGCTCACCCTTCTGGAGGCTGTTCAATGACCGATGTGTGCGTGCATTTACACTATCACAGGAAAGCGATTCTGGATCGTGCACAGATCTTCAATAGATCGCAGCGCCTGGGAGCGTTGTGGATCACCATGTCATCCTCCTATAAAATTTTCTTCTTTTGTTTCTTTTTTGTTTTCGCTTTCACACTTGTTTTTGTAAATCGCACGCTCGCAACGTTAGGGCTTGGCTGTGAGCACACAAAGCATAACGGAGAGACTGATGAGGAGCCAGAACCATGGCGATGCGGACGCGTTGCGACAGACTACATGTAAAAATTACGAGATTGCATCCATAGTGTTTGTAGTAGTACGAATCTGTTAATCGCAGGACTGATCATAGCAGAGCAATCTCCGCGAGGTAGAACGCTTGCCTCAGTACAAATCGCCATTGTACAAGTCGTGTTCTGGCAACATTTCAGCCGCGCCGCGCGTGGTCCGCAACTTTGAGCAGTCCGTGCGTCCAACACTTGCGGTAAATTTAACTGCCCGGGTCGGGGTGTAGGACGATTCGCACGACCGTAATGGTTTCCACACAGGACCACCGCCGCGCGCGAAACACCCTGCGGCGGCTTTTGCCTAAGCAAAACAGGGGGAGGAAAGATTTGCGGCGTGCATTACATGTTAAGACAAGTCAAACTCAGGGAAACGTTGGAGACCGCCCGTGCGAAAAGACCGTCTCCCCCCGGGTCGCTGTAGGCTGAACGCGCGCGAATGCCAATGTTAGACTGCAAGAGACAGCCCGGAGCGTTCAGCCCATTCCGTGCAGTCCACTATATGTAACCTCGAGTCATTTGTAACTTAATGTGGCGCTATTCGGCTATCCGGGCCCCGAAATTTTTTGTCATGGATTTTGCTCAAACTTGGCCCGAGGGGGTTATCTGACATGCTGATCACGAATATCACCTTCTCTCCGCAGGAAAACGCCTCCCTGCGGGGTTACGGTAGGTATACGGTAGAGGGTCACAGTCATAGATTTATCTGAAACTTGGCCCAGAGGGGTTAATCGGGCCGCTGATGCTGAATATCACATTGGTTTTGTACCGTAGCGTCACTTTCTCGGGTTACGGTGGGTATACGGTAGGGGGTCAAAATCTCAGATTCAGCCGTAACTTCGCACAGAGGGGTTATTCGACATACTGATTAAAGATGTCACACTTTGTCCACACGAAAACGTCTCCCTGCATAGTTACGGTAGGTTTACGGTAGAGGTCAAACTCATAAATAGGCAAATGTATCTTTCCCCCGTGCTTTGCTTAGGCAAAAGCCGCAGCAGGGTGTGTAGCGCGCGGCTGTGGTCGTGTGTGCAGAGCTCACGATCGTCCGAATCGCCGTACACCCGTTTCAGGCAGTACTATGTTTTACACCCGTCACCGTGTAGCTACCGTGACCCGAGAAAATGACGCTACGGTTCAAAACCAATGTGATATTTGGCATCAGCGGGCCGAATAAGCCCTCTGTGCCTCGTTTCGGGCAAATCTATGATTTTGACCCTCTACCGTGTACCTACCGTAACCCTGCAGGGAGGCGTTTTCCTGCGGAGAAAAGATGATATTCGTGATCAGCATGGTAGATAACCCCTCAGGGCCGAGTTTGATCGAAATCCACGACAAAAAAATTTTGGGGCCCGGATAGCCGAATAGCGTCCTTAATGTGTGAGACTGCACACTAAACCCTATTAGCGACGGCACCCATACTTGTCACTTCCCAGTGGAACATTTTCTAGTCCAATAAAGTGTAGAAATGTGTTCTACTAACTAACATGTAATCAATAAAAACAAGAGAAATAAGGAAAGAAGGAGAAATCACAGGAAATGAGCATGTTCTAGTTTTGCAGTTCGTCAGTTAACGTGTAGTGTGTGCACTAGGCATATTAAGTTACAAATGACTCGACGATATAAGCCATTTATAAAATCGTGACGACGGATTTGACTGCGGTCTTTGCGCTCACAAGAGCATAGAACACTTCTACAAAAAGGCACCCCAACGCTCAGCTCAGTCACTTCCAGTGTCTGAATACTATCAGACGTAAGCAGAAAAACCATTTGAGCAGAGATGTATAGAAAGCGTGTACAGTGGAAACGTGTGTCCATCTTTATTGCACGAAGGCAAATCATCAAAAGACAGATTTATTGCATTTGGAACCAGTAGCTATGCAGGATGTGGAGCAGGAGCGAAGTGGGATCGTGGACCATGGCAGCAGCGGATAGGTGGCCGTCGGGGACGAGGAGCTGGTCGTTGAAAGTCCATCGCCCCATGACTTGGAGTTCTCCTTATGCAACTTGTTATATATCCTTGCGCTATCAGAGCTCGACATCGTCGACGGCATGGGAATCGCTGCTCTCATAACATGAACGATGACATCCTATAACATTCCAACACTGTAATATTGCAATGACATCCTACTACAAAGAACGCTGCTCTTACAGTACCGTTGATTCGTTGACGCGCAAACGCGGCGGAGCGCGCGCGGCGCGGTTAAAATGTTGCGAGAGCACGCTTTGTACAATGGCGAATTTGAACTGTTGCAAGCGTTTCAACTCGCGGCAGTGCTCCGTAGTGATGTCCATCCGTGCGGTCAACGAATGAACTATACATAAGCCGAGAAGATGCGTCTGCCGGGAATGCGTGCGTGTCGCGCGCGGTCACGCCATCGTCACGATTTTTTGAAGGCCCTATACCTGTCAGTGAAAGGCTTTATTTAGGAGGCGTTTGCGTCCAAACGTGATTGTAATCAACACCATCATATACTTGATTTTCATGTATGACTTGTACATGTACGTACGCATATGATTCACTAAACTGGTTGTGTTCGACGCTGATTAGACTCATATATCTAACAATGGTGAGGACAATTAGGCGGTAACCCGGCAGACGTCTATAACATTCGAAACCATCTATCACAGATACAGCAAATTTTCTTGCAAGGACCAGCGTGATTCTGAGCGTTTAGGGCTCTCAGTGCTCTTGTTTATGAAGTATGGTTCTTTGTGTGTTTGTATTGCGCGCTCAACAGGAATTTTGAAAATGAGTTGTGAGACTTCCCCAGTCTGCCTCTGAACAGAAGAATTTGCACTGTTTGGTAATCCGTTCTTTTTGAGTATGAAATGTGAAGCGAAGTTAGAATCTGTGTACCCAGACGATGTTTTCCGACTTCTGAGAACAGGAATGTACCTTGGGATTGTAGCGTAACAGTGGTGTACCGAGCTCCCCCCCCCCCCCAAAATGAGTCGCGAAATTTTTAAAAGTTACTTATATGGGCTATAAAAATGTGCAAGTGACTTGTTTATTTTTGTAAATAATTAAGATAATTTTTAAAAAATTTTAAAAATTCAAATTAGCCTTGTAAAAAAAATTTTTCGGGGGCGTGGCCGATGCCACGCCTCCTTTTTCCGGATTTTAGGGGTTGAGAACCCGCAAAAATTTTGAGAAGCACTCCTAAATTTTTTTCGGAGTGCCGCAAAACGCCACGCACCTTCATTCCAAAAAAATTTTTGTCGCCCCCCCCCCCCCGAGCGGAAATTCTGGGTACGCCACTGTAGCGTAAGTATCTCGTCCGAATCAAGGTGCATTAGCAAGAGAGTCCCTGGTCTTCACCAGTGGGAATCCGCGGGTTCTGCGATTGATAAACGAGAGCGGTTGGTATGACGCTCTTGCGATAGAATGCATGTTTGAGAAGGATGAGTTCCGTCTTCGTTCAGTAGTGCGTCAGTGGTATTACGTGTCATCGCACTGATCTTCCTTCGGCTGCTTTCAGTATCTTCGCTTGCTTGCTTCTTTTGTTTCTTGGAAAGCTGTTCTGCAAGTAGCATTCAAAACCAGTTCGAAACGAGTTGTACTTGAATCCTGCCTCGAGACTTTTTTCAGCAACTTAGTAATCCTCATAAATGCTGTTGTTGCTGTAGCCGGCACCAAGATTGTTGAACCGTTTATTCGGCTAACGTTTCGGCCAAGTCGCCTTCGCCAGAGCCTATAAAGCATAGAACATTTGGATTTATCCCATCAAACATCTCATCACTTGCAGGAAAAATTTGGGAAGTGGACTAGACTCGTGTCCAAACCTAGAACATAGCTCACCTTACAAGGGGATACTTGGTGACCGTGGCCTTTTGAAATGAAATGTATACCTTTAAATGCATCTTGAAGCGCTGATTCCAAATCTGTTTTCGATATCTGCTGTGCGCTTTCCCGAAAGAAGTTATGAACATTTCTTGCCACAAAAATGTGCACTGTTTTGATGCAGGATTCATCAATATCGTTAGAATGCTCGCTTACGCACTAC